AACTGAGATCCGGTAGATACTACTTGCTTATAAAAATATAACGGTAAGTCTCTTTGATCTATGAGGTATTGTCTATGCCCGGAATAACTTGCGGTGTGGGAGTCGGGAAGCGGCTTTGAATATATACAGGGGAATTTGGGGTTATTCTTCTGAAAGTTTTTCTTTAAACCTGTAACGGGTTATTTTTCCAGGGAAGGTTTTTTCCCCATAAGAAAACATGATGGAAGGTTTTTCTTACTGGAATTCTGGAATATTCTCCATTTACGTGCACGTAAACATAGACGATTTATCAGGAAGATAAAGTGCTCGACTTCGGTTATGCTGGGGAAGAAAGACTTTAGAAAAAAACCTCGACCTACCGGTCTCCGATTTTTCTTTTTATTGGGTTATTTTCTTCAGTCTTTCTTTCCCCAGCTTAACCTCAGTCTCGTGCTTTATCCTACACCGAAAATTGGAAATAAGAGTCGGCCGTCCAGTTGCAATCTAATTGAAACACAGTTCCTATTTCGTTTCGTTTTTTATAGTTCAAAATTTCGTTTAAGTTGTCTTTACTACACTAGGATCTGGAAGAGTTGTTATATTACCGGCGTTTTGGTTGAAGTGAGGGATAAGCCAATGAAACGGTGTCTGTTACGGAAACTTCTTGGCCTGCCATGCACGGAACTGTGGGTAAACCACTAGAAACGTCAACGCTGGTTGATTACTCAATGTCTGACGTCATAGGGTAAGAAGCCACTTGTACGACCCCTGACACGACCTTCGGGTACAATTGTCAGATCTCCATGTAGTGTAGGCCATCGAAAGTATAAAAAAAACGAAACGAAATATAGATCTGTATTTTAATCAGACTGGTCCAGTTGATGTCCTGGTAAAACTTCCCTCAAAGCAGGGGCTAAATGAGAGGGATGCAATGACGAGCTTTGCGTCATGGTTTTGAGTTTTTGAGCCCCCTCGAGCCCCCCCCCCCCCCCCCCAACGCAAATGGCAAAAAGTCACGCGGTTTCAATGCGGTATTCAACGTTATAATCGCAATCATATTGCTTAACCAGTGTCAAACATATAGCATGTTCCACACAGCCCTATATTACTCGGCGGCACTGGGAGGACCCCCCTTCCCCCGCACACATATAAATATTATTTTTATTGGGGGCCCGGACAGGATTTTGTTCCTCGTGCAAAATCATGGGTCACCACGCCCCTGGCTCAAATCAAGTTGATTGGATGTTCCCTTCTACGTTTTCCGGAAAATAAGATGTTAAACCCTATTTCGCTCATCCTATTCTCAAATAAATTTGTTTTGACAATTATTACGAGAAAAAGTTATAACACAAACCAGCTATGTATTTATCAGGGCCTGTTTCACTAAATTTTAACTAAGATAAAATCCAAATTTTAGTAATTTGATTGGATAATATTAGATTGAAATATCTACTAAAATTGGATTTTATCTTTAGTTAAGATTTCGAGAAACAGAGTCCTGGTTTTTTTTGGTTTTTTTTTGGGGGGGGGGTATTTTTTATTTTTTATTTTAATACTTTCGTACAAATAATGTGACAATCTGTAAAAGGATTAATGGATTATCTTCATCATACCGGTAAAAAAGACTAACGTGTCTGTGCTTTACTAGGATTTTAAAGCCGATAAATCCAAAAGAGGGAGAGAGAGAGAGGGAGGGAGAGAGAGAGAGGGAGGGAGGGGGAGGGAGGGAGGGAGAGAGAGAGAGAGAGGGGGGAGAGGGAGAGAGAGAAGGAGAAAGAGAGGGAGAGAGAGGGAGGGAGGGGGTAGAGAGGGAGGGTATGTCCACGCTCATCCGGTTGTAGTGTATGTCCCCCAAGGTACAGTAAGACCGTCCAGAGAGAGAGCGAGAGCGAGAGATGGGGCTTAACGTCTACTCGACACACACTAGGTCATTTCGGGACTAACATATGTTTCAATTTTATTTCAATAATTCGCAAGTAAAGTTAGGTTCAAATGCAAAATTTTCAACACGTCTAGATAAAAGCATATTCAGGATTAGAAAGACCCCCCCCCCCCCCACCCAGTTAGTTGTGAGTTAGTTGTATTTTACGTCCACTTCCACCGAGGTGATATCGTAGACAAAGGAATTCACTAATCCCAGCGTAGAACTTATTCGGGATTAGAAAGACCACCCCCACCCAGTTATAGGGGTTCACTAATCCAGCGTAGAACTTATATTTATGGCTCTGTCTCGAGTATAATGTACGTCCCCACCCCAACGACACAAGTCAATTTGTTTTTCATTACTTGCATAAATACGGATAGAATGTTTGGGGACAATGAAAACACACAACGGCATTTTTGCCTATTCTCTTCAGCGTGGGCCTAATGATGTGTAGTTCTGGAATCTATACAATTTTATAAAGTGTTCTATTGTGCGTTACATTACCCTCAACTCCCGACAAGTCCCCTAAAAACAACACCATTACAAAACACATTAATCTTTTTTTAAAAAGGGGGGTGATTTAATAGGACCCCACTGGCTATAAAAGTACGACTGAATATTGACACAGAAGTAACCGCGGGGGTTTCTCAATTCTCACTCCGAATCAATATGCCATAATGAGCGAAATTCGCTGTGAAAACATGAAATGAAGCGAGTGATTATCACATCGGGCAGAATGAAAAAAAACCGATGTGTTAGTTTTCTTACCTTAGGCAAGTATTGAACTTTTTACCTCCTTGACAAGCATGTTAATCTCAAGATCTGTAAGATCACGGCGACCCGACATCTAAATTAGGAGAGGGTTACAAGTTTTATAATAATATTTTTAAAATGTATTTTGAGTCGATCACTCTATAAACCATATTCAAAAAAAAAGAAGCCTAAAACCGCCTAAAGGGTATAAAGTCTAAAAGTTATTTGTAATGATTATTACCAAACAGCGTTTCGGCTGAAGGATCAGAATCCTATATAGTGGGTTAGGTGGCCGAATGGTTAGCGTGTGCGCGCTGCATCATAAGGTCTGTTATTGAGTCAACTGGTGTGGTTTCTAATCCCCGGTTGTTTGTGACAAGGAGTAGGGTCTTCTGTCCAACCTCGTGGGTTTCTCCGGGTCCTCCGGTTTCCTTTCACTGTACCCCCCCCCCCTCTCTCTCTCCTATATAGTAGAAACATCGCTCGGTATTGTTTTCCATATAGAATTGTGTCATGTATACAATACAATTACTAAATGTCCATCATTACGTGTAACCCTAACCGATTTCATATCGATCATGTTTAAAAATTAATCTTCGATAAGAAAGTCATGCAGTATACCACTTTAATGGTGTTGACTAAAGAACGACATATTATACAGGCATGTTGCATTACTCGTTCAATATCAGGCACCATTATGTATACAGGCGATCGTAATTTTCTGTTATTGGCAGCTATACGGTGGCTTAGAGATTATAACCCTGGTTCACTTACCGGGAAGCCCCGGATTCGATCCCCATGCTGAATCGGGATTTTCCGGTCTGGTTCCCCATTTTCATTCCTGTAGGACGGGGACCTGGCAGGGAAAGGCGTCTAGTTGTTCGGATGAGACGAAAAACCGAAGTCCCATGTTATACCATAAACACAAAAATTGGACGTGGCCCTGCCCCTGGGGGTCGGGACGCAGCAGTTGTCGTCCTTGGGCTATAAGGAATACATATCCCAAGTTCCAAGCCGATCCATTCAGAATCGTGGCCTGTAGGCAACACACAGAGATACAAATAAAACCCGTGTTAGCCGAGAAAGTTCCTCGGAATTTTCCAACCCGATTCCCCCTTGTGATAGGGCCTAACAATATGACGTCTCCAGTCGTTGGGTTGATTCGAGAAGCTCCCATGTATACAATTGGCATAGTGTTAAAGATTCCCTTGGAGGGAAAACATTCTCTGACAGTGACAGCATTGCGTATCCCCGCCTTCATTAGTCGGTTGATGCAGAAAAGTAAAGCATTAAAAATTGGAAAACAATATTCACACCATTGAATATGAACATGACTTCATGATTGCCCGCTTTCAACATAATATGCGTTTAGGTTGCGACCTCTAAAATAAAACTGGGTTGTTTTCTTTTTCTCATAATAACCATACCCCTTAAAAATTTTAGTACCGTTTGTAAGTCACCAGGAATAAATATTGTTTTAAAATGGTGTTTCAAAGACGATAGATAATGTTTATATGCACACCCGTTGGAACGAAATTCACATGCGTGTCTGGGGGTGGGGTGGGTGGGTATCAGAGTAGCTAGTAGAAATGGAGCCTTGGTGCAATTGTTTTAATTACTAATGAACACATGTTTGCAAATAATTGACCCCCGCCCCCAAACGAAAAACCCCCACCCCTACCCCCAACACACGGGTTCCAACAGCCATGATATGTTGGCAAATTATTTATTTGAAGTATTGCTTAAAATCTTTCCACATTTTCAAAAGCATAAATTACGACATTACGGCGTACATTTTGTTGAAAAAAGATTTAATCTCTTTAATTTCCGAAAGATTGTCAATCATAATTTATTTGATGTTGTTTGCGTCGGGACCACACGGTAATATCTTAACAAGGTTTCTTCAGAGCAGATTAATTGACTTGTCGCCAAAGAATTACAATATCCTACACAGTGGTGTATACTAAACATATTATTTTCTAAAATCTGAAATTAAAGCGGATTTTAAACATTAAACTAGTTTCCATAGAGAGCAAAAAGATTTCACATATTGCTGTACTTTTACAAAAGCTTCTGTCCCGTCAAATATGGATTAGATTCAAATTAACACGTTGACGACAAAAAAAAAAGAAAATCATATTGACGAAATTTGGATTAAGTGTTAGCCACGAACAAGGGGCTCTTCCCATTCTGTTAAATTTATTACCTTAATCAAAGAGGTACGGATTAATTAGGTAATCCACATGGTGTTAATGTTCATTGAAACCGTTCAGTGTGATCACATTGTAGCGGTAAAGGGAACACATTCTCGAGTGAGCTCCCTTTATCAACCGTTAGACGGCGCTTGGGTTGATGTTGTTGATCGGCGCGAGTTGTGAGCTATACAGCTAGCAGGTGCGTGAAGAATTCAAACGGTGATCATGTAAACAGTTATTTGAGTAAACGTGCACAAATTGAACTAAAAATGTCGACGGGAACGGAATATAGCGAGAAACCGCACGTGGAAAACTTGCCAGTGACTTCGAGGTGCATAGCAATTGTTCTACATAAAATTCACCGAGAAATAAAATTTGAAAACGAGCAGTCGTTTTTCAGTGAAAACAATGGAAAAGAGTTACTATCGGATTTTAAACTTCGTAACAAGACTTGCTATTGGAATCCTGGATTAATTGAAAGTATTGCCAGTTTGGAATATTTAGGATTTGTGAAACCATGCACTCTGCTTGTTGTTGGGAGAAATTTGGAAAAGATACGTTCAGCATGGGGAAGTCGAGTTTTGAATGCACCAGACGGTTTCACCATTGACAGAATAGGTGAGTTGTTTATTGCAATGTCTTGGCTCGTGAACCGACAGTTTCGGTGCATGAATAATTTAAATTTCCGTTAAATCGTCTGAGAAGAATCCCCCATGTTGGCGTCGCTTTCATTAAATACGAGTACGGTATTTCGTAGGAAACTTTGCAACAATGTGGTATTTTGTTTACAAATTTAAACCATCAAGAGTTATGTAATGTTATGATGCAAAGGCAATAGAGTTACACTATGTTGCAAAACTGTCGCCCTTTGATATCACATGGGGAATATTTATCGTTATTTAAGCCCTATATCACAGTAAATCAAATTGATATTTCCTGTAACCAAGTGTAGATAGTAGTAATTTATTAACTGCTTAATTTTGTGTGTGTATGTGTGCTCAGTGAATATCTATATGTAATACATCCTTATAATATTAGTACACCTATCTTTACTGTGTGTGTATGTATACATGTGTATTATAATAACATGAGATATCCAATATACAGCAGTGGGTTTTAGGCAATATCTATATGTCGTACATCCCAAAACATGCATTAGTGCTTGTGTATGGGGAATACATGTGTATAATGAGGAGATATCCAATATACAGCAGTGGGTTTCTGTTGTGGTATTTATTCTTATAATGATATAATTTTAAACCCTATTAAAATATAATTCTTTATAATACACAGTTTATAATAAACAGGAGATATTCAATATACACCAGTAGAATTCTAATGTTGTATATTAATGTAGTATAAACATCTACCTGTAGAACTCTATTATAATAATATATACATCTTTCATAATATATGTGTGTAATACACAATTCATAATAAAGATGAGTTATCCAATATACACCAATAGATTTATAATATACACCATTTACCCAATATACACCAGTAGATTTATAATATACATCATTTATCCAATATACACCAGTATATTTCTAAAATACACCATTATCCAATATACACTGGTCAGTAGATTTATAATATACACTATTAGATTTATAATATACACTATTAGATTTATAATATACACTGTTAGATTTATAATATACACTGTTAGATTTATAATATACACCATTATATTTATAATATACACTAGTAAATTTATAATATACACCATTTATCCAATATACACCAGTAGATTGATGCTAGAATATTGTATATTACACTAATCTTACGGTACTGTGTATAATAAACTATAAAGCTTATATTTATAATATGCACTGGGTAGGTTTATAATATACATCATTTATTCAATATACACCAGTAGATTTATAATATACATCATTTATCCAATATACACCAGTAGATTGATGCTAGACTATTGTATATTACACTAATCTTACGGTACTGTGTATAATAAACTATAAAGCTTATAATTTTTTTTAAAATAGACCTAATTTACCTGGTTGTACGACTAGTCTCAGCGGTGTGCAGTTTCGAAAGTCTAGCCATTAAATTGTGTGTAATGGCTGTTGGATGTTTTGAATTTATTTTGTTTATTTCTGACAAGAATTTGTCATTTGGTATAAATTTTCAGTCCATTCAAATTGGGCTCACTAGTATGAGCTTTTAGAAATTCAGACCCGAAACCAGCTGTCCGGCTTATTTTGAAAGGTAACCATTAGTAACGATCTACGACTGTAGTCTGTATTCATTAGGAAATGGGTGAATAGTCAGGGCCTTTATACAGGTTATTGTCATAAAGTCATTAAGGTCAGCATAAACCCCATTAAAATCCCTGTCCTCTATCACAGGGGGTGATAACAATTAAAGCCCCTCTGTTCATTGTAACATGCACGTGTTAAGCCAGTTATCATCATGGCAGATACAGAAATCCCTTACTCTGATGATGAAATATGATTACAGACTGATTATATACTGTGATATAACTGGGGATGTACCTGTATCGGGGAGACAACGATTTTTGTGCATGCATTGTTTTTTATAAATTTGGTTGGTGAGCTGGAAAATGCTCTTCTTACATGTAATTTGCAAAAGTAAAAAAATTGTTCTGCTAAAAAGCTCTTTCAAATGAGAGAGTTAGATTATAACCATAGGCATAGGGGGGCCAATCTCAGTTGGGGACTGAGGCTATTTGCCCAAAAATTTTCTTTTTCAATCAAATTTTCAGAATGAATCAGTCATTACTTAAAACAAATTTTCCACAACCTGTGATGTTTGTTTATTTTTAATTAATTACACAATTACACAGCAATATAAATTTACAAAATGTTAAGCAAAAAACAACTTAATGATCCCCATTCTCTGATGTTTGTGCCCGAAAAAGGGAAATACATTGCCAGAGAAATGGACGGTTCAGCGAGCTGCAATCCCTTCCAGGTATTTGATGGGGATGTTTGTGCTTGACCATGTGCCTTAAAACAACAAGACCTACATTACATGTACTTGTGTTACGATAGGCTGTAATTAACAAAACAAATACAGTACATTTATACTTAAATTAAACATTTTTCTATTAATATACTAGAGCACTTTGTGAAATGACCATAATTCATTTTTTTACATCATAACAGTGGCAATATTGGTGACAAAACCCAGATAGTGACTGCCCAGGGCAAGAACCCAGGGATTGTAAGGGAAGAGATCTTTTTTCATACTGGGAGATGTTGGTGGGACAAAACCCAATGATTAGAATCCCACCTTTTTAAAACTAAATCATCCATTTATTACTGCAATCACATTGGTTTTATGACCCTTATTATACAACCCTTTTCTCACTTCAGTTAAAAGGGGCTCATAAAACTCCCTTAATTAGACCCCTCATTATATCCTGTCATAAACAAGCACAAAGATAAATTTAATTACCTGCCAGCGTTATTTTTGTAATTAAAAAGTTCTTTTTATCAGGTGTAAACTCATCTTTATCTCTCACTAAGTGTTTTTTTAAAATTGTTTAATTGATTTAACTATATGTAAGATAATACTTTTAACTATTTGAAATAATTTTGGAAAACGATTACTAAATTTATCTCTCGTACAAGTTTAATAATTGTAAACAAATTTCATATCTGAAAGTTTAGTATTTGTAATCAAAACTCACACCTGAAAGTTCAATATTTGTTAACAAAATTCATACCTGAAAAATTAATATTTGTAATAACAATTTTAACATTTTCGTAAACAAAATTTGTATCTGAAAGTTTAATATTTTTGTAAACAAAATTTGTATCTAAAAGTTTAATATTTTTGTAAACAAAATTCATATCTGAAAGTTTAATATTTGTAAACAAAATTCATATCTGAAAGTTTAATATTTGTAAACAAAATTCATATCTGAAAGTTTAATATTTGTTAACAAAATTCATTTCTGAAAATTTAATGTCTGGAAGTTCAATATTTGTAATATTTTAATATTTTCATAATCAAAATTTTTGTAATATTTTAATATTTTCATTATCAAAATTTATATCTGAAAGTTTAACATTTTTGTAAACAAAATTCATATCTGAAAGTTTAATATTTGTAATCAAAATTCATATGTGAAAGTTTGTGTGTAAAAATCCATAGCACTATTGCTTTAATTAGTTGTCTGGCCAGTTTTAGTATGATTAAAATGTGATTAATGACAGCCAATTACACACAGAAACTAGATTGAGTTCGATGGATGTTTGTTCTTGTAAAAGAGAGAGAGAAATAGGGTTTAACGTCCACTTGAAACAAAATACTCCTTGTCATGTACAACCGGGTATTCGAAATCACAGCAGTTGACAACCTTCTGATGCAACACACACACGCTAACCATTCGTCCATCCAACCCCCCTTTGTTCTTGTAAAAGAAGGGTATGAGAATTGGATATATATTTTTAACATTTTAAATTTAAAGAAAATATTGGGGGGTTGGATGGCCGAATGGTTAGCGTGTTAGTCTCGAAATGACCTACATGTAGTTTGTGTCAAGTGGATGTTAAACACCATTTCTCGCTCTCTCTCTCTCTCTCTCTCTCTCTCTCTCCAAGAATCTTGAGTTGAAACAAGACAGAAGGTTGCTTGACAAACCTTTATTTTCTCGTTTTACTACTATGTTAAATAAAGCAGGAGTTAAATCATAAGGTCTGTCATTGAGTCAAGTGGCATGGTTTTTATTTTCAGCTTGTACGTGATGGGGGGAAAACAAATTAAACCATGTGTTAGTTCTGAAATAACCTAGTTTGAGTTAAGTTGACATTAAACCATGTGTTAGTTCTGAAATGTCATAGTTTGAGTTAAGTTGGCATTAAACCCCATTTCTCTCTCTCTATGTTTTAATAGGAAACAAATTCTAGAAATTACACATTATTTGTTTTATACATAAGTATTAAATGGAATAATTGGTTTAATATTTTCAATTTTCTGGCATTAAAATTGTTAAGAGTTATAATTTCACAGCCAGATATTTTTGAAATTTCAATTCCAGACAGACCTGGCTTATAGAGATAAGTTTTGACTTGATAAAACTGTTAAATAGTTTAACATGTTGATATCTTAAGTCCGGTACACATAAGAGTCATGTTGAAGTTAAGACCAAGTGGTTTCAATAACTGATAATAGGTTAGGTAAATTTACATAGTTGTAAAATGTAGTAGGATTACTTACAATGTATATTAAAGATACATTATGGGAGATTCGATAACAAGTTGGTAGTTCTCACTACAATAGTTAAAAACTAGATAATGTAAAGGCAATGTGCTAAACATATCATTGAAATTGATTCACTATGAACCGAGAACTAAGCGGTTGAAATTTCCGGCTAGCCTTGATCATCATTACTAAAGTCAGTACGATAAACAGCATAGTCTCGATTATCCATTTAATTGTTAAATCGTGAAGGAAAGTTATGCAGTAAATCGGCTCATAATCCACTAAAGATCGCAGGTTAGCAATGCCATCTAGAGTTGATTATGATATGGATAAGTTGATTAATAATTTAGATAAGATTTTAGACCCAAAGAAAGACCTGCTTTACACAACATTAAACTTAGTTTCATATACAGCATTACCGTATA